ATCGCCCGTCGCCCGCGGGCAGCTCCCCCCACCCCACTCGCCTGTGTCGCCCGCGGGCGCAGCGGCCCTGGGACCCCCGCAATCCCCTGCTGCGGGCGGCCAGGACGTGTCGGAATGGCAGGCACGGGAGATAGGGAGTTGGGTGGGGACGGAAGGATGGATGGATGAAAGAACGAGCGAACAAACGAACGAGCGAACAAACGAGCGAGCGAACGAACGAGCGAACAAACGAGCGAACGAACGAGCGAACGAACGAGCGAACAAACGAGCGAACGAACGAACGAACGAACGAACGAACGAACGAACGAACGAACGAGCGAGCGAGCGAACGAGCGAAAGAACATACTGGGGATCCTATCACGTGACGGGGATTGCTAACGTAGTCTGGTGAATATTGTAAATTTCACCGAACTTCGGAGTCCTTGAAGCCAGAAAATAAACTTGTAACGTTTCGAAATAAACGCAAGACGTTTCTGATTTCACGTTTGCCGGTTTTGGTGTTATTGTTGGAAGCTGTTTGTTTCACGCTGCTGACTACAACAAAATTGCGCGTCTCTCTATTTTCTTAGTAAACTGTAAATAGGACTTATATATTTGGTTAATTTACACGAATACTATTAATTAATATTATTAATCTCCTGCTGTTTATAGTAATCTTTCAATACGCTAACGTCGTGAAACAGCAATAAACACGCTAGGACCCGTGCAACAAACCCGATCGCAAGAGGTATAATTTGCTTCGAATATTTAATGAAAAACTTTTTTGAGCCCTTCTCTCTCCTTCCCGTCCCCTTCCCGGCCGGGTCTATTGGCGCGCCCCCGCGGTCGCTGCAGAAATCGCTTGTCGCCCTACCGGCTTAACGGCCGAACCTTTCCGAACGGCAACCGACAAACAGCGATGTCGGAACTGCTCCTCCATCAATTGGATTGAATGTATTTTGGATTTTATATTTTGCGCTTCTTGTACAGCAGAATTGAGCCCGCACTGCTTGGTGTTACAGAGCCTGGTGGAGCTGGCGACGAGCACGCCGCTGCAGGACGAGTGCGTGACAAACGCCCCCATGGAGATCGTGTCGCGCCTGCTGGAGGAGGTACGGAGTCCTCTGCGAGAGGAATCTTGAGCCCGTTTTACACAGTCATTTTTTTCTTCATCATTTTTCTGTGTAGAAAATGCGGACGTTCGTTTCCGCGCGATACTGTTTCCATATTGAAACTGAATAACGAATTGGAGAGTTTTACACGGCCATTTCGTTTTCTGCGCGAAATCGTGATGGAAATATTTCCTCTGGACGCCGCGATAAGCGCTGAAGATCAAACAGTTGAACATCTATGATAAATTAAGTTAGGTTATGTTAGGACCGAGCACGGAAAGGGAACATATTACACGTTTAATTTTTCACCACGTAATCTCTTCACATCACTGTTCAACACATTAGAGAATGCTTTCAAAAAGTACACAAGGATCAAATCGCACCTGATGCATAAGCAAACCAGTATTAGTTCGGAAAAGCGACGCCTTGAGCGCGGTAGTCAAACTATGAAATGTTCCGAAAAACGAAGCATGCGTCATTTTTCTGTGCAAATTACTGGTCCGTCTGGTCCGTCTCTTATCTGTGCCGATGAAACATGATGACAAAATGACCGTGTAAAAAGAGCTAGGCAACGGTTCCTTTGCAACGCATGCGTCGTAGAAGATGGCGGACGCCATCCATATGAAGGAGGCAGTTTTGCGGTCAGTAGCTCACGCTGCTTACAAACGTAACGATTTGTTCGTTCTAGCAGGTTTTCAAATTACTGAAAAAATGAATCACAATGGTGATTCACCTGAGTTGACGTAGAATTTATCAATTTATCATAATCAAAGTTCTGAGTAGTGAGCACATGCGGTTATCAGACGTCTGCTCTGTGAAATCTTTCGAGGCGAAGTACGAATCATTTCCGCTTTTATGCATGGTTTTATATGTGATTTTTACTTTCTCGCCTTCCTTCGCAAGGAAAGTAATGAAATCGTGAGCCAGAAAACGGCAATTTTCGACAGAAAGTTCTCTTATTGCCAGGCTCTGTATCGAAGAAAGGATCAATCTTGTTCGTAATATAATAAATTACTTCCTCTTACATGTGATGTTAGAGGAACACAAATATCATAGCGAATATTTTCTATTAGATGTTTAACGATTGAAAGCTCGAAGAAACATGAAGTTTCTCGAACTCGCATAAAACAGTGTTCACTCAGCATAATTAGGCACTTCCAGTATGACAGAAGAATTAAATCAAATCATCTATCTTATTATCCTTCCGTCATTCGATAGAACTGCGCGCCCCCTTTTTTTGGTGTCATCAGACACATCTGATTAAGGTGTATATTGAAGTGTACGGATTTTTATATTTGTACATGCTAGTTCTTTAACGGATTATTAATTTATTTTTTAGTTTTTGTAGTCCTTAAGGTTATAAAAGCAATCACTCTTACCATTAACTTATTCTCGATATATTCCTTTAAATTTTCGTTAAGAAGATTGAAAATAAATAAAAAAATAAAATTAATTACGACTGCCTTATGGGTATACTTTTGGGAAGATCAGGTCCTTTGATTTTAAGACAGATAAAATTTTGTTTTTGTTACGACATGAATGACACACATATAGTGCAGTGTGTGTAGTGTGAAAAAGTGAACAATCTTAATTATAACGATCACTCATGGCGTAACAAAAAAAGTTATTTGAGTATGCCTGCCTTAATGAGATGAAATTTTGGTTTTGTTACGTCGTGAATGCCACACATGTGTAGTGCAATGTGTGAAAAGGTGAACAATTTTAATGAAAACGACATTCAAAATTTCATTTGAGTATGCCTGCCTTAAAATATCTTAAAGGACCTGATCTTCACAAAAACGATTCCTCTAAATGTGCGAATGATTTTTTGGAGAGACCTGACTGGCACGCGCGCGTGTGTGTGTGTGGCGTTGCGCAGGACGAGGCGTGGACTAGCCGCGGCGGCAGCGAGCAGCTGACGGCGACGCTGGCGCCCCTGCTGGCCAACACGGCGCCGTCGCCCGCGCTGTGCCGCTTCTTCTCGCGCCACTGCGCCGCGCACCCGCGCTCCCCGGCGGTGGCCGAGCGGCTCACGCCCGTCGCGCAGCGCATCCTCAAGCACAACGTGGTCAGCCATTTTGCCTCGCTTCGGCTTGAATACCTCCGGGCAGAAAGGTTGTGACCCACGCCAGCACACGGCACTGTGCGAAATGGATTGGAACCATGTTGGAGAATGTCCCTACCAATAGAATGTTGAGAAAAGAAAGGAA